AAACAAAAACTCAGATAAAAACAAATTGAGGTTCAGCATGTTGCATGGACCCCAGACCAACAAATAGACTATCACAGGGAGCATTTCACCAAAAATTCAACTTCAAAAAAAAAAAATAAATTTGGGACCAATAACCAAGTCCTAACCGATATAACGGGGAAGATATACTAACAACAAAACCCCCAACGTATGCGAAAACGATTAATTTGGGGGACTCGGGTATGCACAAGGCTTATCCTCAAAAAAAGGGGAGTAAGAAAAAATAGAAAGAGAAGCGCCCCCTTTACAGGGGACGAAAAAATAACGGGAGCGGCAAAAAGGGGTAATAATTGAAATGCAAGGGGAGACACGGGTAAAGAAAATAGCAACACAACCCTAAAGCTAAAGGAATCTTATAGGATCAGGAAATCGCGGAAAACAAAACCATAAAAGAAATCGAAAAAACCCCAAAATATTTTTTTTCTCCTATGCCAAAAAAAAAATCGAAAAAAACATCCATATTGGGCCCCCATTTTTAAAAAAGATGGGTCCTACACAGATGACAGCAAAGGAAAAGAGTAGCTACCAAATCCCAATATACTCAGGTTTTTAGCAGCCACTAACCAACGGACGAAGATCAAAATGAAATTTTTTTAAGAGCCACAAAATTTGGTTAACACAAAACCTACCGATGTTATCCTGACGCCAAATGACTTGCAAGCGATAAAGACATCCCATCACTCTGCCCCAGGCCCGACCATTAAACCCGTGTTTTATCAAGAACGCAAGAAGCCCCTAAACAGCCTTTTCCATCCAGGAGAGGGACATACACGGGGTCTCCCACATTTACTAAAAACAACAGACATAGCCCCACCCACAAAGGGGGGAGAAAGCAACAGCAAAGAACTACGACCGATAGCACTAACATCCCCTATCATAAAAAAACTTTGAAAGGGCCTAAGAGGGAAGATCACCACCCCTCTAGAAAACCCCTCAGTTACACAACCCAGGGGAAACAGGGGGGTTTGAACAGGTCGCCCTGCTTTTCCCAAAATGGATCACTCGACAAGGGGCCTAAATGCACTAGAAGATAAAAAGAATGCAATGTAAAAATATACGACTTGCAAAAACCTTCAACAAGTGTGGCCATGGGTAATACGCACAAAAACTGCTAAAGAATAACAGAAAAGCGGGGCGATGGATCATAAAAATTTCCCCACTAACAGAACACGAGAGTAGTCTCAACAAGTGAAGTCCGAGGGACTACGGTGAAAAGCCGTTTCCCCAACACAGTCTCCTCCCATCTTTCCTCATCCCATAAAACCCACATAGACAAGGATGTCACCACAGCACCGTGTCTTCCCTTTGCAAACACCCAATCTGCATACAGTGTCTTCCATTGCAGACACTGCAAGGCCCAGGGGGCACAACCAATCTTTCAGGGGGCTGCAGAAAACTAGAAGTTCAACGAGAGAAATTTCAATTACCAGATATGGGAAACATGAGGAAATTAAAACTCATCAAGTACAAAAAAAATTCGGGGCCCCAAAATAGAGTGAAACACCCAAAGCAAAACCTGGAGTGATCATTCGGGGGATCCACTTCAAGGGCCATAACATTTTATCAATACACTGCTAGAAAAATACAGGGTGGATAATGAGAACCTTCAAAAAAAGGAGGCCAAGCCCCTTATGACACCTTCAGGGCACTTTTCTATCTAGGCTGGAAAGCTGCACACTAACAGCACCTTTTTAAGGCAGGGAAATTGCGACCTAGAAAAGTACAAAAAACCTCACGGCCCAAAAAGGAGATAAAACACCTCAAAACTGGGGGCGCTTGAGGTTCCTGAACCGTTTCCCTGGAAAACCCGGCGGAGAGATACATATTATATACACCTGGAAAATCCTAGGTGGGGACTGTACCGAACTTGCACAAAAAATCACTCACAACGAAAGCAAAAGATTTGGCAGACGATGAACAACCCTCAATGAAAAGCAGGGTGCCCACTAGCACGTTAAGAACCATACAATAAGTGTCGGGGCCCCGGACTTTTTCAACTGCCTCCGGGCATACATAGGGGGATTACCAACAGACCCCTGGCAGTCTTCAAGCTGGCACTGGACAAGCACCTAAAGTCGGTTTCCTGACCGGGGGCGGGCGTGGTTTCGTACGGGTTTGCGTGCAGCCGCAGCAACAGCCTGGTTGATCAGGCTCGATCCTCCAGGAGGCCTGGTCACAGACCGGCCGCGGAGCATTGACCCCGGAACTCTCTCCGGGTTTAACCCCGGGGCTCTCCGCCAATCCCTAGGTACCTTCCCCTCTTTCGTACATTTATTTAAACAAAGTACAACCACTCCAACACTTAAATTCCCCCCTGCTTTTTACATTTCTGTCGATCCCATCAGTTCCGGGCTGTTTTAACCCCCTTTCATTCTACGTAATGCCTCACGTACCTCCCCCACACATACATTCTGCTCTTCTTCACTCTAAAAGATGGTATACCTCCTTGACCAGTGCATGAAATTACTGCTCTCTTTCTTCCTTAACATTTAAAAGTTCCTCAAAATATTCTCGCCATCTACCTAATACATCCATCTCCCCATCTACTAACTCCCCTACTCTATTTTTAACTGCAAATTCATACTTTCCCTAGGCTTTCTTTAACTTGTTTAACTCACTCTCAAAATTTTTTCTTATTTTATTAAAATTTCTTGACAGTGCCTCTACCACTCTATCATCTGCTCTCCTTTTGCACTCTCTCTCACCACTCTCTTTACCTTTCTTTACTCTCCATTACTCTGCTCTTCTATAACACTTCTCATTGTAAAAACCTCTCATAAACTACCTTTTTTCTCTTTTATCACACCCTTTACTTCATCATTCCACGAAATCACTCCTCTTTCCTCTGCCCCCACCCTCCTATAACCACAACTCTGCCCCACATTCTAATACTGCATTTTTAAAACTCATCCAACCCTCTTCAAACCCCCCCACTACTCATCTTTGCACTAGCCCACCTTTCTGCCAATAGTCGCTTATATCTCACCCGAACTTCTCCTCCTCTTAGTTTATACACTTTCACCTCCCTCTTACTTGTTGTTGCCACCTTCCTCTTTTCCCATCTACCTCTTACTCTAACTGTAGCTACAACTAAATAATGATCCGATATATCAGTTGCCCCTCTATAAACATGTACATCCTGGAGCCTACCCATCAACCTTTTATCCACCAATACATAATCTAATAAACTACTTTCATTACGTGCTACATCATACCTACATCATCATACATCATACTTATTCCTCTATAATTTTTACAATCTCTTTTGTCCCCCTTCCCTTTATATAAATTCAAATTCAAATTCAAACTTTATTCTCTATAAGTATTACAATTCTCTATAAGTATTACACACTCTCTGCCAATCCCTAGGTACCTTCCCCTCTTTCATACAAGTATTACACACTCTCTGCCAATCCCTAGGTACCTTTCCCTCTTTCATACATTTATTAAACAAAAATACGAACCACTCCAACACTATGTCCCCCCTGCTTTTAACATTTTTGTCATGATCCCATCAGTTCCAGCTGCTTTATCCCCTTTCATTCTACGTAATGCCTCACGCACTTCCCCCACACTCACATCCTGCTCTTCTTCACTCCTAAAAGATGGTATACCTCCCTGGCAAGTGCATGAAATTACCGCCTTTCTTTCTTCGTTGACATTTAAAAGTTCCTCGAAATATTCTCGCCATCTACTAACTCCCCTTCTCTGTTTTTAACTGACAAATCCATTTGTTCCCTAGGCTTTCTTAACTTGTTTAACTCACTCCAAAATTTTTTCTTATTTTCATTAAAATTTCTTGACAGTGCCTCTCCCACTCTATCATCTGCTCTCCTTTTGCACTCTCTCACCACTCTCTTCACCTTTCTTTTACTCTCCATATACTCTGCTCTTCTTATAACACTTCTGCTTTGCAAAATCCTCTCATAAGCTACCTTTTTCTCTTTTATCACACCCTTTACTTCATCATTCCACCAATCACTCCTCTTTCCTCCTGCACCACACCCTCCTATAATCACAAACTTCTGCCCCACATTCTAATACTGCATTTTTAAAACTATTCCAACCCTTTTCAACCCCCCAACTACTCATACTTGCACCAGCCCACCTTTCTGCCAATAGTTGCTTATATCTCACCCGAACTTCCTCCTCCCTTAGTTTATACACTTTCACCTCCCTCTTACTTGTTGTTGCCATTTTCCTCTTGTCCCATCTACCTCTTACTCTAACTGTAGCTACAACTAGATAATTTTTTTTACATTAATGATGCAAACACTACACCAGTAAGTCATACAGCATCTAGGAAATGGAAGGCAATCTGGTTCTAAATGAAAGGGAGGACAGGGCCAATTCCTTGAATCAAAAGCCATTTACTGGTGTCATGTTATCCATCTCAGATAGCCAATAACTGGCAGACCAAACTTAACCAGTAGTTTACAAACTACTAGAAAGCGAGCAGTGTCTAAAATCTCCAAAACCGGCCCCCAAATATACTGCTGCTTCGTGATTTCACATTAAGATTACTAAAATGGAAATAGGAAAGATTGTAAGAGCAGAGAGAATCTCAGGAACCATTTGGACGAACAGTCTCACACAACTGTGCAATAAGTTCACCTTATGCCACTATATAGCAGAACCAATCAGACTAGGAAATATTCTTGATCATGTATTAGCAAACGTTGAAGGTATGGGAGGGATCATAACTATCGAAGACAGTTAACTCAACTGACAACCAAATGTAAGTTAAAACATGCATACTCACTGATCCTAATCAACCAAAATGCACTCAGCCAAGAGGGTATGTGCAACAAATTTAATTTCGGCAACAAGAACATTAACTGGAGTTAAATAAATTGGAACCTTACCAAAAAATGCTGGTAAGATGGTATGATTAATGTGGATCTGAAGCAGTATTTCTAAAGGATGAACACAATGGCACTAGATGTATGCTTCAGACATACCTTTATGAAGGAGGAGAAGGTGCAAGTTGGAAAGGAAGAGGCATGTTCTTTGTGGGCAAAGTCAATGGATCACAGAGATTCTCAAAGGCTGCAGACTTTCTGAAAAACAAAAACAAACACTGGTTAGAGAAATAAAGAAAGTTGAGCTTAAACTGATGGAGGGAGTAAAAAGCTACGAGTGAAATTGAAAGAAATCTGAATCGCTTCTAAAATGCAAAATCGAGGGTCGAAACAATCGCAGACCTCTAATTAGAGGAAATGTATATACAGTGATGACAGTAAAGAAACGAGTGACATAACTAAGTTACAATACGACTCGGCCATTAATCAGACTAAGGATTGGCAACCCAAGTGAGTTTTTAATGAAAAAGATGCAAAACACCATGAGCATTGTTACAAAAAATGCGATATCTATTAAGCATAGACATCTCCAGGGAACACTAGAAAGGTCTGTCCTTCTAGCATTCAGCATGCTACTGGAATTTTGTAACAAGTAGTCAGTATACTGGTCCAGTTATCCATTAAACTTGAATACTATTTTAGGATCACAACTGATAGGATACTAACTAATCAAAATTAAAATTAAGATATGTTTATTAACAAAATTAAAGTTGTCTAGGTGGACAATATCAAAGTAAATGCTTTATACAATATAGGACATAAGTTCTTACACTTCTCTCGTATTGCAAAAGTAAGTTATACAGTATAATAATGCTGAAGACACATTTCATATCTTAATGGCTCTTAAGTACCATCTGGTACATTGTCAGCAGTTATAAACATAATACTAATATATATATACAAGTGAGTGTGGGTGAATGTGTGTATGTATGTGATCCAAGTAGTTCGCTATGTCTCAAGATTCGGCTGGACTTAACCAGTGACTGACTAAACATCCTCAAATAATCTAATTCCTGACCAAACTGGCAATCAAAACAGCTTGCTTGAACAGTATGGCAACCATTCACCAACAGCAATAAAGTTACAAGCAGCAGCAGCACGGAGTCAGGAACAAGGAGACAAAATAACGACCCTAACTGGGGGCCTTCTACAGATCCTCCATACAAGGCATACAACTCCCTTAATACTGAATTTAAGTTCAGCATAACCAAATCCCCAACTACAACAGTGCGCAGATGCCAGAACAAATTAGGTCAATAGCTATAGCTCAGGACCTGGGGTATCTTAGGGCGTCAGTGTGACACACAACCTCAGTAAAATGTCGAAAATCACTAAGTCTAAACTATGGTCTTGACAAAAGGCAAGGCATCTCCTAACTCAGGTGCAATCACGCCACTAATCACGTGACTCCTGTGGACTGCCCAGCTACTCCCGAGAAGCTGGCAGGTAAACAAGCGAGGCAGTAGTTAACAAGGTAGTTAGCCAATGTGAGCAGCTACTCAACACTCTCAAACATTAAGCACAGAATAAAGTGTAATTTGTTATATCCTACCTAATGACATAAGCTAAGTCAAATAATAATATAAGGTATGATACTTTCAATTTAGCTAATACTGAAAATATCAGCAATATGAAATTATATGAAAAGATAAAATACATTATAATTACAATATACAGTGGACCCCCGGTTAACGATATTTTTTCACTCCAGAAGTATGTTCAGGTGCCAGTACTGACCGAATTTGTTCCCATAAGAAATATTGTGAAGTAGATTAGTCCATTTCAGACCCCCAAACATACACGTACAAATGCACTTACATAAATACACTTACATAATTGGTCGCATTCGGAGGTAATCGTTATGCGGGGGTCCACTGTATATACGCAGTAGAGTATATACATTGGGCCCCATTCAGGGGGCACAATAGGCATCTTCCTGATTTTTTATGTAACCCTAACCCCAATGGATTTCAGAGAAGCAATCAATTGCATGCTCATGCACTCTGCCCCAGGAACTGACTCCTGAAACTCCATATTCATCAAGAATTGCACGATACATTACCACGTCCCTTAAATATTCTATAGAGAATATGTACACTGGAGTCATCCCACCATCATTAACAACCACTGATATTGCTCCACTTCACAATGACGGCAGTAAAGCAACAGTGAAACACTTCAGACCAAAAGCCCTAACATCCTACATTAAGATTTTTGTAAAGGTTTCAAGATGCAAAATTACCAATCACACAGAATTACAACAGTTGCACAACTTATGTCAACATCGGTTCAGGACAGGTCGCTCTTGTCTTTTGTAACTGCTGAACCATGTAATGATCCAACAGTAAAGTGGCCCCAAGTGTATATACACTAAGTGGCCACTTTATTAGTTACACCTGTACACCTCATTAATGCCTAAAAGCATGCAGATATCGTCAAGAGGTTCAGTTGTTCAGACCCAATATCACAATGGGGAAGAAATGTAATTGAAGTGAATTCCACTGTGGAATGATTGTCAGTGCCAGACAGGGTGGTTTGGGTATCTCAGAAACTGCTGATCTGGGATTTTCATGCACAACAGTCTCTAGAGTTTACAGAGTGAGTGGCAGGTCTGTGGGCAAAAATGCCTTGTTAAAAGAAGCCAGAGGAGAATGGACAGACTGGTTCAATCTGACAGGAAGGCGACAGTAACTCAACCATGCATTACAACAGATGAAAAGCATCTCTGAATGCACAACACATCAAACCTTGAAGTGGATGGATACAGCAGCAGACCACACTAGACTCCACTCCTGTCAGCCAAAGAACAGGAAATTGAGGCTACAGTGGGTACAGACTCACCAAAGCTGGACAGTGGAAGATTAGAAAAACACTGCCCAATAATAAGCCACATGGGAAGACAAATTCATCTTGTGAATTTGTCTTCATGTGGGTTACTGAGAATATTTACATTATATATACATATACATGTCGTGCCGAATAGGTAAAACCTGTGATTCTGGCTTAAACAGTGATGCTTTTCTTGCTAAATAAGGCAAGCAAAAATTTGTGTATGCAATAATTTCGCAAAAATCATTCTGAATCTAACAAAAATACTACATTTCATTGTATTTATCATTAAATTATTGTAAACTTATCTAAAATATATTTAGTTGGATTAAGCTAAATTAAATTGTAATTGTGCTGAATACTGAAGACAAAGTAAAACAACTGAAGTTAAATCAAGTTTATAAAATTGCTCACAGTGTCCAGAATATCTTGCTGCTAATTTTGTCAAGTCTGGGAACCAAGCCAATCATAGTACTAGGGGAAGAGAGCACAACTTTGTAGTACCCATAGTCAGTGGCCAGGCTTCAAACACCTTTTATTGTACAGCAATAAAGGAATGGAACAAATTGCTTGCACATGTCAAAGCCAGTCATAGCATGAACCAATTCAAGAAAAGAGCCAAAAGGTACCTAATGAATGTAGTGACAGAGAGGCAGGAGAATGAATTTTTATTTTTTTAAAAGCTAACACACATAAATGTAGATAACTCTTTTTACCTTATTCCTAGTATAGTATATCCTTTATACAGGTCGGCCATCATTAACCCGGCATCATTGGGACCTGTAATTGCTGGATTAGCGAGTTTGCCGGATTACAGAATGGTTAGGTTAGAATACACTTAATTTAACCTATCAATAGAAACTCTTTCTGTTACATCTTCCTCATTTTCATTGCTGCTTTCTCCTCCACTGGCTTGCTGCTGTGGATTTACAACCATCTGCACAATATCTGAGTCAGTATAATGATGAAATTTGAGTCAGTATAATGATCTGAGCCAGTATAATGATGAAATTTGAAATTATGCTAGCCAAAATTAGTGCCAGATTACTGATGGAACCGGATAACTGATTGCCAGATTAGTGATGGCCAACCTGTAGTATAATAATAAGATATTATCTCCTACATTGTATAATAATAAGGTATTAAAAGGACCCCAATGGAAATAAGTAACTTTGTCTGACTTTTTTGTGTAATCCTAGGTTCTCTACACATACACATATTTATTTATTTATTAATTTGAACATGATACAGTGAAGTACAAAGTTATTACAGTGCAACATGCCAAAGCCCCTTGTATGCATAGCATTATGGGCAGGCTTAAAATTAACTTAAGATTAACTAAGCAATGATATATTCAGTGGTAAAAACATTATTGTAAACAGATAACAATTTAGCACAAATGAGTATTACAAAGACAGGTCATATGGTCATTTACTGTGTTGCTGAGCATTCAGTAGAATGGAGTATTCTGTTAGGTAATGTAATTAAAAAATAAAGTTTGATTGGGTCACAGGTTAGACATTTATGAGATACAATAATGAGAAACATTTACGAGATACAATAATGAGAAACATTTACGAGATACAATTTATGAGATACAATTATTCAGTATTTATTTAGTTGTGGGTGAGTAAGTGATTTTTGAGAAGAGACTTGAATTTATAAACAGTGTTTCTTTTATATTCACAGGTAATGAATTCCAGATTTTAGGGCCTTTTATGTGCATTGAGTTTTTGCATAGCGTGAGATGGACTCGAGGAACATCAAAGAGTGATCTGTGCCTTGTGTTATGGTCGTGTGTTCTGTTGAGGTTGGTAAGACATTTGAGGGGAGGGTTTATATCAGAATTAAGTGTTCTATGAATGTAGTAGGTGCAGTAATAAGTATGGATGTTTTGAATGGTGAGTAGGTTTAGAGTTTTGAGTATTGGTGGAGTGTGCTGCCTGTAATGGGAATTTGTTATCATTCTGACTGCAGCCTTTTGTTGGGTAATTAATGGTCTGAGATGGTTTATTGTTGTTGAGCCCCATGCACAAATTCCATAAGTGAGATAGGGGTAAATAAGTGAGTGATATAGGGCCAGGAGGGCTGACTGTGGAACATAGTACCATATCTTCGATAGTATGCCTACGGTCTTGGAAATTTTTTGGGAAATTTGTTGTGTATGTGTTTGAAATTTGAGTCTATTATCAAGGTGGATTACTAAGAATTTTCCCTCTGTGAGTTTTGTGATAGGTGATCCGTTTATCATTATGTTAAGAGGGACGTCTGTAGCTCTGTTACCAAACTGAATGAAGTAGGTATTGTCAATGTTTAGAGTAAGTTTGTTAGTACTCATCCAGGTAGATATTTTCTGTAATTCGGTATTT